GCTTCTCTGATAAACTGGATTTTCTTGAGGGAGATCAGAAACCCATTGCTCAAGGCACAAAGGAAAAAGCTAAAGGCCAGCAGATGAAAAAGGGGTGAGAAGATTTTTTTTTTGTAGAATGCAATGAGCTATATGCAGGGTATGTATACTAAGAGCAGTTTCAGAATTGAGGTCGAAGGACTCAAAAGATTGGTCACAGTGATGGATCCATTTAGCCATATCTGTCTTTGAAGATCAAAAATAATATGAATGCCCATTTGATTCCCCATCACATACTACTTCAGTTGACCTAGGATTCAAATCTTGACTCTGCCGCATGTTGGGAAGATACTTTGAACAAATTCTGTTCTTTTCTAAATGCTCATTTTTCTAAAATTACTGTTTTAAAGTGAGAAAATAATATGTGCTTCATAATATTTTTTAAATTAAAATTATGATGTTAGATATTTTTATTCCCTTTATTTCACCTTTTTACATACACCAGGTTTGGGGAAAATGCTAATGCCCATATAATACGTACACAAGGAAAGTGAAACCGAGTCTCACATGCTTTGGGTATGTTGCCAGGAGGAGCCATTCCTTAGAAAGGAGGAGGCTCAGTGAAAGAAAGCAAGACCGTCAGAGAATTGGATTGACACAGTGACTGCAGCAGTGGGCTCAGTACGTCACAGATGATGAGGGTGACGTAGGACAGGACAGTGTCTTGATCCGTTGTTCTTAGGATGGCTGTGAATCAGTCATTTCAACAGTGCTTAACAACAACAATTTCATTTATCAACATGTTTAGACCCAAAGACAAGGTTATTACATGAATATTAGCGGCTAGACATACCTGTTGGGGAATCATAGCTTAACCAAACTGACACATTTCCTTAACCATCAGAACTATTGTTAACTCTCACTTTGGGTCTTGGTATATGTTAATTGCCAGATGTACATTAGGTTTTTTTTTTCAGATGTAAATTATTAATACACAAAATAGTTGGATGGTGTTTTTTTTACTATTGCAATAAATCCAAAATGTCAAATACCAAGATAGTTGATAAGGAGTGGCAAGTGCTGAGACTGAGACATTTAGAAAGTAGTAGAGAAGCACAGTGGGCCCTGAGTTGTGTGAGCAATTAATGTCCTTGGCCACTAAACAAGAGGCTGGCAATTTGAATTCACCCAGAGGCACCTTAGCAGAAAGGCTAGGTGATCGACTTCTGAAAATGAGCCATTGAAAATCTTACGGTGCACAAGTTCTATGACACAGAAGGCACTCTGAGTTGGCTTTATGGCAACTAATTGAGCACACAGAGGAAATACCTGACATTCTGGGGATCTGGATTTGGGGGTGGTGTTCTTGATAGGAAGTCCTGCTTGTGCTAAGTCTGATGGATAACTAAGAATTAACCCAGAAAGAGAAACAGGTTTTAGGAAAAAGGAAGAACGGAGATGAGCAAAGGCATAGAGTTGTGAAACTGCAGTTGTATTTGAAGAACAGAAAATACTTGGTGTCATTGAGAATATGAGGGGCAAGGAGGGGTGTGATCTGGCTGGAGAGAGGCCTTTGCGGAATCAGAGGTGATGTTTTGCTCTGTTGAGCTTGGACTTTATCCTATAGGCAGAGGGGAAACACTGATAGGTTTTACTTAGAATAATGAACCAATCATATTCACATCCTGAAATTATCTTATTGTATAAATGGTGATATTCATGTAAGTGGTGAATTGGGAAAAGGTAAGGAGTTTGGCTTAGGGGTCTATTAGGCAAGTCCAGATGAGTACTTATAATGGACTGAAATAGTACTAGGGAGAAAGAACAGGAAATGGACTGAAGAAACATTCAGGAGGTTAAATAACAGAATTGGGTGTTGAGAACGAAAAGGAAGACTCAGGGATGACTCCCAGGTTTCTGGCTTGAGTGGCTGGGTGGTAGATGATGCCGCCAAACTCTAGTTAGGAGATTGTGTGTACATATATATATATGGTTAAGAAGCTGGCATGTCAGTTTTGGATACACTGTGTCTGAAATTTCTTGGGATGGCCAGTTTTTAAATTTATTGCATTTGATTATTAACTGGATATAAATATACTTCATAAAGATAAAAATGACTGAGGGTGATTTAAAAAGATTTTTTAAAAAATAGGAAGTTTGAAGGAATAGGAAGGATTCAGTGGAGACTTGACACGGTGAAAACAGGAATAGTCATTAGTAACTATGTAAAATGCAGTGTATATGAATGATTGTATAAAACAAAATGTACAAAAAAATCCCAGACACAATGTACATGAAGTTTCCCAAAAGACAAGTAATGAGTCACCTATGTATTAGAATCCTTTCCTGCTTTGGGCTTTATTTATTCTCCTGTTCTAGTGGTTAAAACTATGACTAGATGAACTTGTTTAGGGAGTTTGTAAATTGATGAGACTGTGGGCAACCCTCGTGCTTAAGGGACTTTGCTTAGAAAAAGGAAATGGAAAGAATATTGTTTGTTGGGCCATAGGACCTGCAGTGCTGTGAGTAACCTTCAGGACCACTTTTTTCCAGGCCCAGTGCCAAACGACGGTATAAAAACCAGAAGTTCGGTTTTGGTGGAAAGAAGAAAGGCTCCAAGTGGAACACTCGAGAGAGCCATGATGATGTGTCCAGCTTCCGGGCCAAGACAGCTCATGCCAAAGGTCCTGGGAGGCCTGCAAAGAAAAGAGCAAATGTAAGTGACCCATGGGCCCAGTAGGGCCAAGGATCAGTTTTCTCTCCTAATCTCACACCTCCCCTCTCCCTGTCTCAGTGTGCATTCTGACTTTCTGGGCCAAAAGTAAAGCTGTTGTATGACCAGATGTACTGGTTCTTTTTTTGCAGAAGAGACCTGGGAAACGAACAAGAGAGAAAATGAAGAACAGGACACGTTAAGCAACATCTTTGCTTACTAAGAACCAAATAAAAGAGGAATGATGACTTGGAATTTTACAGTACCAATGGATCCCTATTTTTGTAAAAAAAAAAAACCCACACAAAACAAACTTTAAATAAACTGAAGAATAATTTATAAAAAAAAGCATGCTAAAAAAAAAAATGCAATTGGTTGAAGACTCATTTAGAAGATTTGAAAGTTACCATTATATACAATAACTGTTACTGCGGTTCACTGAAGATATGTAGACTTAGCCTGCCTTTGCAGTGGGGTGACATAAAACTCTGAAAGAGAAAAAAAGAAAAGCCAATCAGGAAATACGTACCCAGAAAAATTGTCCCTCAAATAGGATGGTGAAATTAGGACATGTCCAGATAAAAATAAGCTACTAAGTGGTAAGGGACTGTGCTGCCATTCCAGAGGCAGGCGGTTCGAATCTTCAAATCTTCCAGCTTTCCCATGGGAGAATAATGGCATTCTCTTCCCATGTGATTTATTGCCTCTAAAAACCCACTGAAAGGTCAACTGTAAGTCAGTTTTGACTCAACAGCACATAACAACAAAGGGAATTTATGAAAACTAGACTAATCATAAGAAATATTAAAGGGAATTATTTGGAGAATCAACTCTAAATTAACATACGTGACAGCCTCATTCAGAAACTGACCCCAAAATAGAAATGCACAAAATAAAATAAACTTGACTAGACTTTGTTATGCAGCCAGAGTGTTCTTTGGAGGCGAAACGGATGAGGCTTTGCCTCACATACTTTGGGAATATTGCTAGGAGGTGCTCTTCGTTGAAGAAGAACATGATGCTGGGAAGGGAGGATGTTGGTGAAGGAGAGGAAGACCCTCAACCAGGTGGATTGATATGGTGACAGCTACAGTGGGCTTTTGTGTGTCAGGAAGTATAAGGATGGCACTGGATAGAATAGGTTTAGATCTTTTGTTCATAGGGTCACTATGAGTAATAACAACAGACTTGGCCATCCTTTTATGATAGAGGAAAAGCCTTACATCTTCCAAAATTATACTGCAGTTTTTACTAAATCAGATTGTTCAGAGCTTCAGTTTGCTCGGCTCCACGGTCAACACTCTTGGCACCAGCAGTCAGGAAATCAAAAAACGCATTACAATGGGAAAGTCTGCTGTTAGGGGCCTCTCAAAAGTACTCAAGAGCAACAGAATCTCTGGAGACTAAGGCACTTCTGATACAGGCCATGGTCTTTGCAATCACTTGTTATGCATCAGAGAGTTGGACAATGACTAGGGAGAATAGAAGGAGAATTGATACCTTTAGCTGTAGTGCTGAAGAAAAGAATGTATCATGGACTGCCAAGAAAAACATTCATCCTGGAGAGGGTTAAACCAGGCTACTCCTTGGAAGCAAGGATTCTGGGGCTTCATCTGACATACTTTGGACATGTAAGGCGGGACAGGTCCTTGGAGAGGGACAGCGCAGGAGGGGAAGACCCTCTGAGATGGATTGATTCAGTGACGGGTAATCGGGATTGGTGTGTCAGAGACAGTGCGATTGGCACAGGATAGAGCAGGGTTTAGGGTTGTACATGGGGTCGCCATGAGTCGCAAACAACTCGACGGCACATAACAGCCAGTGTTTATGTTTTTATGATTGTTTAAATACTAATTATTGCAGAGTTAGGTCCTTGGGTGATGAAATGATTTGCACTCATACTAACTGTAAGGTTGGCTATTTGAGCCCTGCTATGTGATAAATTATTCTGGAGATGAAAAGGTGAGGAAAAATGGAGTTGCTTTCATAGTCAAAAAAGAAATTTCTAGGTCCGTCTTGAAGTACAACATTGTGAGTGATAGGATTATATCCATACACTTACAAGGAAGTCCAGTGAACACTACTATCATCCAGATATATGCACCAACAGCCAGAGCCAAAGAAGAAGAAATAGATGATTTCTACCAACTCTTACAGATAGAGATCGAACATGCAATCAAGATGCATTGATAAAAATGGGCGACTGGAACGCAAAAGTTGGGAGCAGGGAAGAATTGTAGTTGGAAAACATGGACTCGGTGACAGAAATGAAGCTGGAGATAGAATGATTGAATTTTGCACAATGACTTATTCATTGCAAATACATTTTTAAGAGACATAAACGTACATTATACACATGGATTTCACCTGATGGTATGCATAGGAATCAGATCGATTACATCTGTGGAAAAAACTGCTGGAGAAGCTCAATATCCGCTGTGAAAACTAGGCCAGGAGCTGATTGTGGAACAGACCACCAACTACTCATATGCAAGTTCAAGCTGAAGCTGAGGAAAACCGAATCCACAGGAGCCAAAATATGACTAATTTCATACCACCTGAATTTCAGAATCATCTCAGGAACAGGTTTGAGG